TTTAGGGGTTTAGGATTTAGGGTAAGGGCTTTGGGGAATAACTGGCACAGGCATCAGTGCAAGAAGTTGACTGCGGCAACAGCACTAATTACTGCATGTTACGGAACAGTTAGTAATACTGTGCCCTCGTAGTCGTATTTCTGCTATAGGACATTCCACAACCCTTCAATGTGTCGTAGACTCCCGTGCTGTAATGATGCAGGCAGCGATCGAAAGCTGACAAAAAGGCCCAATCAGCTTCATGTTCCTAGCTACAGATACCCAAAGACCTAAAACAGACAAACCTTGTCAGCTATAATCAGATGTCCATCCAACTTCGTGACTACAACGCAGCCAAGATTTATGTAAACACTCGGCAGCATCCGGGTTTAGAGTTTAGCGGTTTAGGGTTTAGGGGTTCAGGGTTAGGCGTTGTGTGGTTTAGGGTTGAGGGAAGAAGACATCCGATTCGCCCGAAGCGAAAGCTGAAGGTGGCGAGAAAGCAGGCAAGAGCGTGCGCTGGCAGAGGACACGTGACGGTTCATGGTTTGTAGTTGGCTATGGTTCGCAACAATGTCATCGTATGGGCCTTAAGATACACCTTCCTTAAAGTGTGGTAGGATCCGTAACTACGGAAGAACTGTTTCGTTTTGAGGGATTTAAGGTTTTTGGCTCAAGGTTTAGAACCTTCTGATGAACAGCTCAGAGAGGACCCAGGTATCCTTGACTCAGGACTCGTTGGCCCCAGGGCACCGGCTTGACAAGGGTTTAGGGGTTATTTGGAGGGTCGGGGGACTAGTAAGTAGATATGAAGTAGAGTTATAAGCATCCTAAACGGTATCCTAATTGGGGTTACGGTCCTTATAAGTCTGTAAAGTAACTAGTTACTAAGTCCCCCGACCCTCCAAGTAGGCTTTAGGGTTCAGGGTATGGGGTCTGCAGATGTGCAGCCTAGGTTGTCGGGTTCAAGGTTCAATGACGGTTTCGAAATCCTGGTTTGGCCCCAAACCCTAAGGGTTTAGGGTTTAGGGTTCAGGGGTTTAGGGGTTTATACAGGGTTTAGGGTTTGGGAAGCTTTTGAAACGCCGCGGCCCTAGACCCTTCTGTTATCAATCCCTCTATGGACACTTCTCTAAACTAGGGTCCTTTTTAGGTCCCCCAAACAGTGCGGCGCCCTTATAACAAGGACCTTAAGAGGGATCCAGATTTAGAGAATTAATCCTAGGATTGTTTGCAACAATAACCTTGATCCCTTTCGGATAGATTTTGTCCTCAAGAGCGGGAGCTGCAACGGGGCCTGAAAAGGCGAAAACTGGTCTACTCTCAGCAACTTGGCCGGCTTGGTTTCCATCCACTGGCGAGCACAACGACCTTGAACCTGAACCTAAACCCTAAAACCGCAAAGCCCTAAACCCTAAACTGAGCCATACACGCCAAAACCCTATAAATCCTAAAACCCCAAAGCCCTCAACCCTGCAACGTTGCACACGAAACTCGACCTGCGGATCTTCGCGTAGCGTGGCGGGCTCAGGTGCAAGGCTCTGAATGCAGGCGGGGCTACACTTTTGGCTGGTTGTCAAAATTATGGTCCCCTTGTTGGGTCCTTATCATAGTGCGGCACCTATTATTTAGGGTACCCCAACAGGGGCCATAATTTTGACAACTACCCATTTGGCTGACTCTCCTGGGATGGAGATGCATCTGGGTGTTCTTTAGGAATCACGTTGGTAAATTGTAGCATAAAACATAGCATTGTAGGTCCCGGGGGCACCCTAAACCCTAAACCCTAAACCCTAAACCCTAAACCGCATCTTTCTCTTTCTGGCTCCTAAGCGGGCGGATGTAGGGGTATTTAGTGGAAATGGTTTTCTCAAAAGTTTCGACCAACACCTACGGTTGATGATATAAATCCTGCATTACCCATAGTAAGGAATGTACCATAATTCCCATAGTTTAGGGTCCGTAAGGTAATGCAGGATTTAAATCATCAACAGTAGTTCCTCAAACATAACAAGGAACCCTAAATGGACACCTGCTTAACAGAGCCCACCCAACCTAAACCCCTAAGTGCCCCTAAATCCCTAAACCCCTTACTCCTAAATCACAAACCCCCAAAAACCCCTGAACCCCTCTATCCTCAATCCTAAACCCCTAAACCCCTAAACCCCTAAAACCCCTAAACCCCTAAACCCCTAAACCCGGCCCGCAGAGGAGCTCACTTCGGCTGGCCTGAGTGTGGGATCGTGCCCTCCTGCTGGATGCATCAGGTTTAGGGTTCAGGGTTTAGGGTTTAGGGTTTAGGGGCCACGGAGGGAACTTGACTCATTTTTGGGCTTACTATAGGGATCTGAATCATTACCTATACTAGTTTGGGGCCTCCTTATTATAAGCACAGTATAATGGACCCCAAAACCTATTCTAATAATTTTGGCCTCTACGTTATATATCTGGTCTATCTTTCAAAGCTTGAACTGTTTTGTTAGACAGTTTGAAATGCTTTGTGCCCGGCCATTGAAGAAGAGAGATGCATCAGGGGGCCAATCAGCGCTTAGGGGTTGAGGGTTTGGAGCTGAGGGATGACCGAATGTAGAATCTGGGGTTTAAGGGTGTCAGGGTTTAGGGTCTATGGCTTAACGGTTCTGGGTTTATGGGTTTGGATTTAGGATTTAGGTTGGGGGGTGGGGTGCGGGTAGGGAGGGGGTGGGGGGTGGTTGGGGGGAGGGGGTTGCATTCTAAGCCAATAACGAACTATCAGCGATATATAAGTCCTACACCCAATGAGCTCTAAACACTAACCCTAAACCCTAAACCCTAAACCCTAAACCCTAAACCCTAGGGGCGCGAAACATAGCTCCCGGCTGGATTCAGAGTTGCCCTGCAGTGGCTAGAGCGACTGTTCGCCCAAGAACTCGCTGGCTTTTATCAGTGGTCTATATGGGAGTTTGCGAAAAGAAGGGGTACCGTATTTTGGGGTCCCGATAATAAGGATCCTACTATTTGGGGTACTATATTAGGGTACCCTATTATCGGAATCCTCCATATTGTGTCAGGTCCAGAGGGACCACACCCGCTGGAAGGCAAATGCAAGCCTCTCTGCAGGAGAGTGCCAGTTGGATCTAAGCGATCGCATGCAACATAGCAGGTGGATTTGATGAATCGCTCGCTTCCGAAAGACATGCTTCCATTGCGGAGAGAGGCATGCGAACTCAAAAGAGTGTGAGTGCTAGTCAGCTGTCAATCTAAGAACGAACGGTATATCCAACAAGAGGGAGGTGATGAACAGCCTGCGATACTGAGCACTGAGCTGATGTTTGCATATTGTGCGCAACTGCATTGGTTTCAGGATTCGACGCTGGTACATTGCCCTGTTGATGCCGCCTCTGCACTGCCGCTACCTGCCAGAGCACATCTTTTTGCGGAGCACAGCGTGTCAACACGGCCGACCACTGTGCGCTTCGCAGGGAACTTTCCGGAAAGTACTAGTCATGAGGAATACATCTTGTTAAATGTTACTTACTACATTGCTACTACATGCTGCTACTATGATAATTGGCAGCTTTGTAAGAGTTCATTAACAAAAGTCCAGCTTAGTGGAAGTTGGTCCGTGGCTTTTGGATCAAGGGCACGGAATACCACTCCCAGACCTCGAACATCGATCCCTCAATTCACGAATAGTGTTCCTTGGGTTACAGGAGGCTTCTAACCATGATGTGTAAGGTGCATTCCTCAATTACGGGTATTGGGCACTTTCGGTGGTATGAAACGCTGCGTGGCTGATATGCTGCGCTATCATTCGGGGTCCGTAGGGTTATGCAGGATATACATATACATATGCAGTTGGTGTCACAGTACCAGCACATAGACTAATGTTACGGCTTTCCCTTTTTGATTGTGTGTTCCCTCGTCCCAATGCTAGGTCGCTTCATGATGCAGGTATTGGGCAGTCTTGGGTGAGAAGGAAAGCCAAACAGCTGGGATGAGAAGAAGTTTGATTGAACATGTGGCTTTATATTTATAGTATAATGGGCCCCAAAACGTTATTCTACTTATAAAGGCCCCTATATTAAGCCTTTCATTTCAGACCTGATGCGCTAAGTCCCAAAAGTGGTTCACATTTAGGTTCAAGGCCCCGTCAGAGGAAACAGCTCGCACCCCTGAACCTTGCGACTCTAAGAACCCGGAGTACTTCTGCAATACTAGGGAACTGGAGCGTTAAGGGTTTAGGTTTAGGAGTCTCCGTGAACTCAGCATCCCATGCGAGTCCAGGTACACCTGCTCATATCCGTGCGAGGTATCTCTCACAAGGTCGGGCTGCTGCTGCTTTAACACCCACAAAACCACAAAACTAATTTCCCCTAAGGGTCCATGTATTCATATAGCATATACATGGGCCCTAAAGTACCTATATAGGGACTACATTAAGGCCAACGTATATACTATTTGGGTACATGGACCCTTAGGGTTCCTGAACCCAAGTACTTAATTACTAATTCGGTTCTTTGGACCCTTCGGGCTACTGCAAGGGTGTGGAAGCGGAGGACCAGATCTGATCTGGCTTACTGCTTTGGACCAGCTTGCGGATGCGATCAACCGCATGGGCTACCAGTATGAAGTCGTGATACGGGGAGGGGACGTAATCGTCGTTGTTTGCCTTGAATCCGCAGGCAGCCGTGCACTCAGCTTGCCCGCACTACTGCTGCTGCAACATTTTGGATATGCTGACAAACGCGGCTCCAGGCGAACAGTCCCTCGGCAAGAAGATCAGCTTCCACTTGCAAGAATTGGCAGAACATCGTGGTGTTCCTTCGGTGGAGTTTGATGATGAGCAGGCTGCGCCAGGTCGGCGATTTGCTTCGTGTCACTGGCAAGCACTGGTCCAGGCTATATCCATGCTGACCTTCATTGACGTGATGACCAGCCCGCACTGCCAGAAAGGCGGAAGCCTTCGTTGGTTCCCTCATGTGCTCATAGCCTGAGACCGCCCGACCCTTGTCAAACTAGTTAGGCTTTTGTCCGAGTCATCATGTGTCTCCTATATTCCGAATTATACCCTTAACCCAAATTCTGTACTTCCTGGCAGTTTCTCGACTTCTGTGTACGTAGATTCATACATGCCTTAGCCCTCTGAAGCTGCGTTCGGACAGAAGATTCGCTCTTGGACATGCGCCCCCTAAACCCCTAACTTTATGTAGGGTTTAGGGTTTTGTGTTAAGGCCGAAACCGACATCCACAGCATAATATTGTCTTAAACCCAAACTTGGGCCATAGAGCTCTGTAGCCTCTTTCTAACTCTATTGCAGCTAACACGAGTCCTGCAAACATAGACGGTAATACAAGCCGGACGACAGAACTTGAAGCCCCTCCAGATGTCATGGATCGAAGGAGGTTCTTACTCAATATAGTTTAGGGTTTAGGGTTTAGGGTTTAGGGGTTTAGGGTTTAGGGTATAGGATCCTGATTAAGAAACCCTGACATTCTTATTGAGTTCTTTATATTGCATCCAGAGATTTTTTGAATTTATAGGACCAGGGTTTCCTATTCAGGTTCCTACATCAGGTCTCCCCTCCCAATGCGGAGAAGGGAGCCCTTCTAGGGAGCCCTTCTTATTTCCAAAATACTGGGGAGGTTTGGGGCTCTCGGGTTTAGGGGTTGAGGGGTTTAGGGGTTTAGGGTTTAGGGGTTTAGGGGTTGAGGGTCTAGGGTAGCGATTCCTTTGGGGTTTCTGTCTGTAGCGAGCGACATGCTCGGTAACGGTGTGGGATAGGGACCCCTCATGCTTCTACCAACCGCTAAGCCATGCTAAGCCCTAAATCCTGTGTCACCCTATGCCTAAAACCCCAAATCCTAAACCCTAGACCTTATACAACTACCCGAGACCTTAAAAACCCTAAACAAGCCCTGTGTACCCTAAACCGAAGGTTGTTTTTGAGGGCCGGGGAGCTCAGCGACTCGGAACTCTAACCCCCCCAATACCCTTCGATCGACAGTCCGTGCGGTTTAGGGGTTTTGGGTTTAGGATTTAGGGCGTAGGGTTTAGGGCTTAGGACCTAGGGCTTAGGGGTTTGGGGTCAGGGTTGAGGGTCGTTTAGGGTTTGGGGCTTTGGGCTCAGGGTTTGAGGAGTGCCCTTAGCTAGACTAAGCCTAGAGGGTCCAAGTACTTGGTAGCCATATATTTGCAGAACAACTATCCTGAAGCAACATACCTATTAATTATTCGGTCCTGTTGGGCCCTCTAGCACAATTATACGAAGGAACCCTAGGAATACTACTGTCGGGTAGTTCTCACTCTAAACCCTAAGCCCTTCTTGCAGCTTCTATGGTACTTTGAACCCTAAGCTTTTTTGAAGATGCGGGTAGTTCTCGAAAACTATGGTCCCTTTTAGGGTCCTTTTTTTCTATAAGGGTGCCGTACTATATTGGGGAAGCCAAGAGGGACCCTAGGTTTGGAGAACTACCCATGTGGCTTATGATCATCGGGCCGAGGTTCTTGGTTGCGGTCTGTGTTTGGTATTTAGGGTTTAGGTTTAGGGTAGAGACCTTAAGCCAAGAACGGGGTTTCGGGGTATACCATAGGGTAGGTTTTAGTCAGGAGCCCTCCGAATACTCTTACCCTGCAGCACGGTTTAGGGCTTAGGGTTTAGGGTTTAGGGTTTAGGGTTTAGGGTTTAGGGCTTGGGGTTTGCTGATCTTTCAGCGCTTTCGGCCAGGCAGGAGCCACAGCTTTGGCGAGGGATTTTTGCAGGGGCTTTGCTTGGAGCGATACTACTGACCACCCCGTAAACCCTAAACCCCTAAACCCCCAAACCCCTAAACCCAAGCTCTAAAAGCCCAGCCCTCCAGCACAACTTACCGGAGTTCGGAAGATGGGGTGCCCGGCACAGACCGTAACCCTAAACCCTAAACCCTAAACCCTAGACCCTAAACGGATCGGACTTTCACTTTAGATCGGAGAGGTGGCTCGATTTCCTGGGCACCCTTCGGCCAGAGGCCAAGGAGGAGAGGGGAGGGTTGGGGACCTTCAACTCTCCCTACTGAAGGGCATAGGGGGCGTAGTGAGTAGCTTTTTTGGGGGGGCTATTTATAAGTCCCCGAAGTGGGCTTCTTGAAGGGGTTAAGGCTTAGTAAGTAGGTTATTTGGGGTCATAGGTCCCTTATAAGTGGGCTTGTCCGATATTAACATGACGTCACTTACAAGATCTTATAAGTTGCTTTGTAAGCTCAAAGGATAGCTTTATAAGGGTACTCTAGTGTTTCTAGAGTTTACAGGGTGGTGTGAGGTCTAGGATGTTGTATAGCGATCACAGGCATTCAGGGTTTCTAAGGTTGAATCCATGGGCCCCTTGTATGGGCCCTTAACCCTGGGATCCTTATACACCTACTATCGACCCTATATGTACTCTTACGCGTTTTGCCCTGCTCCCTCCGGAGACATCTGCTCTTGCTCTTTAGACACCGGGATCTCGGTTTTCAGTCTTCAGGGTTTCAGCAATGCTGCAAGACTATAGAGAGCCACGGCTTGCGATGTTCCTGGAAGTCCTGGTGATCTTTGCGAAGACTCAGGTTCGGAGTTTAGGGTAGACTGAGCCTCTCGTTGCGAGGAGATCCACCATTTCGCTGCGGGCTTGAGGACGCATTGGGGTTTGGGGCTTAGGGTGCCGAGACAATAGGGCTGTAGGGTGGCGGGAGGGTTCAGTGTTACAAACCCAACAGCCCAAACCCAAATACTTGATCACACCCTCAACGCCTAAATCATTCTAAACCCTAAACCCTCAACCACAACCCCGAACCTTACCCGCGGACCTCCCACACCCTAATAATAAAGACCTCTCCAAACCGTAAATCCTAAACCCCAAATAATTTTCAACGCTATTCTTGGGGGTCCTTATTTATACTGAAGGTATACGTTACCCTCAAATTGGAGGGTCCTTCTTTTAACTAGGGTATAAGTTACCCCCCAAAGCCTATTCAAATCAGTAAGGCCCAGCGTGGAAGACGAAGAGGCTCTCATTCTCCTATGTTAGGGCTGTTTGCTAAACCACGGTTTTTTAGGGTTTTGGGTGTAGGGCTGTCCGGTCTAGGGTTTAGTTTAGGCTTCAGGGGAGTTCAGGATTTGTTTGTTGGTGCGTTGTTAAAGTTTTTCTTCGGATTGAAGCGTGGATGACCGCTGAGTGGCCTGCCCTCTGCCAGCGCTGGTCCCGTCGCAGGCGGTTTTGTAAATGGCTTCAACAAGGTCATGTGGACCTTGAACAGGCTCCCCCGCATGAAGGGGGGGGGGGTGATTTCTTTGCGATCTTGTGCCTATAATATAGGGGCCGTAATAATTAGAATAGGGTTTTGGGGCCCATTCTACTATACTTATAATAAGGACCCCCCTCCAAAAAAAAATAGTATAGGTAATAATTGAGGCCCCTATAGTAGGCGACCGGAGCCCAGCAGTCAGCAGGTGGTACAGTGCTAGGGTTTAGGTTTCGGTCTCTGCTCAAAGGCACTGACGAGGTGCCGCACATGCATGGATCCCTGACGAAAGGAATGGGTGGTTGTCAAAATTATGGTCCCTTTTTGGGTCCTTATTATAATACGGCACCTAATATTTAGGGTACCCCAAAAAGGGACCCTAACTTTGACAACCACCCGAATGAGTTTAGGGCTGGCAGAAGACAAGACTGCTTTCGTGCTGAAGCAAGGCCGCGGACTGAGGTAGTCCGAAATCCCTTGGCATCAACAGAGCCCAAGCCTTTTAGAATAGGGTCTTTGGGCCCAAAAGCCCTTAAGATATGAGTCATTTGAGGGTAAGGGTTTCTGAAAGCCAGCACGTGCTTGCAGAGGAGGCGCTCGTGAGGCCTTATGGGAGCTTTGGGGTTGGAGCGCTCATGTGAGAGCAATCAACGGGAGTGCTTCATGCTTATATTAACAACCTATACTTTCCGAGACACTTCTCAAATTTCCGAAATAAGACCTCCTTATCAAAGGATCTTAGGGGATTTGACATTCCAACATCCGCTGCTTAGTAGAAGAATCTTCCGCAAGAGGGGACCTTGGCTTGGATAGTGGCGTTTCTGTGTATCCCTACTTAAGTAACTATATAGCAAATACAGTTCCTAGAGTTAGAGGTATCATGGGACTTATATAGCAAGTACAGGGCCTAGAGTGAGAAAATATAACGTAACCATGCTTATAATGACGTATAACACCAGTTCAAGTCGGTTTAACCTTACTTGCTAAGTCTCACCCCAAACCCTAAACCCTAAGCCTTACATACTAAGTCCCACGACCCTCCAAGTAAACCATGGCTCGGCACACCAAGCCGCCAGGAAGACCGCGGGTCGAAGCACCCCCCACTGCGTGGTATTATAAGGGTTTAGGGTTTGGGGTTCAGGGTTTAGGCTTAGGGTGTAGGGTTTAGGGTTCAGGGTTTAGGGTCTGGTTTACGGTTGAGGATTTAAGGTTTAAGGTTCAGGGTTTAGGGTTTAGGGTTTAGGGCTTAACGAACCTGTATCCCCGAACCCTCAGCCTTCTGTATGGTTTAGGAATTGAGGTTTGATCAGCTGTAGCTGGGGCTGTATGACTTCATTAACCTCATAAGCCTTATGCGAAGCAGCAGAAGCAGCCCCAGAATAAAGAATCTGGTCTGGCTTCGGTCGACATTCGGTTTAAAGGGTTCAGGGTTTAGGCTTAAACCCTAACCCTAGACCCTAACGGTTTAGGGTTTAGGGTTTAGGGTATGGAGCCTACATGATTAATGCGTGCTTGGAAAAGGTAGTGGGGCTACAAGTCATCCCCTCACCCCCAAAGCCTCTTCCGCAGGACCACCGGAGGAGAGGTGTAGCCTGCTCGGCAGTGGGCCGGGTAGGCTTCAAGGTTTGAGGGTTTAAGGGTTAGGGTACGGTTTAGGGTTTTTGGGTTTCGGGCTACACCTGAGGCAGTCCTGCTTCGTGTTATTCGCACAAAACTCCCCAAATTAGAAAGAAACACAAGGGGGCGGCCCCAATGTACCTTTAGTCCCCTGCTTGTGTTCTTGCAAGAGGTCTTTCAATCACACAGACTCTGAAAACCGTGAGCGCCTTGCGACCTAAACCCTAAACCCTCGGTTTTAGGGGTTGAGGGTTTGGGTGGTAAACCACCCAGCTACCGTGCAATTTACCCTAAATGCCCATTATTACAGACCATGAGGTCTCCATTAAAGGGCCCTTGGGGTGTCCTGGTTATTTAACTCAATGAGTTTGAGAATAGGTCGTCTTACACTTTAGGATGGAGCACTCGTGGGGATTGGTGTGGAGAAATTTGGGTTGGGGGTTTTGGCGGCTGGTGTTCAGGCAACGAAGGCTTCTTGGGCGGAAGGTTGAAATTGACGCGAAAGTTGCTAATCATATCTAGAGTAAAACGGACCTGTGCGCGAACGCTCGGCTCCACCACCTTTCAGGCTGAAGCACTCCCACCCTCAACACCCCTTGCCCCCGTGCCCAAATACAGTATGAAATAATCGATATCCTAACAATATAATAATATATGTACTATAGCAACATAGTACTCAGACATGCCCATCATCGTATGGAGCGCACGAGAAGGATGTTGAAGGCTCTTGGGGTTTGCGCCGGTGACATCGAAGCGGGGAGGACCTCCCTTAGCTTTAATTTAAAGCTTAAATCTTAAACCCTAAAACCTAAACCCTCAACTGGTAACCCTAAACCCTAAAACCTGAAAGCAGGCGGGTTCAGGACCGAAGGCTCGCGAGGCACGCAAACCCTGACGGCTTACGCTTGAAGGTTTAGCAGTTTTGGGAATTGGTTTTCAATGCCGAGGTATCTCCAGTTCCGAGATCGCGTGGTCTTCGTAGTTGGAGAGGCCTCCGCAGATGCTGCACCATGGGATGGTAGTATCAGCAGCGATAGCCCAGCACCTGGCGAAGCCTGAGCGCACCGCCGACATGACAATGAGCATCGTCGTCGTCGTCGTCGTCGTCGTCGTCGTCGTCGTGCCATTACTGGCTAGAGGTAAAGATTAGGGTTTAGGGTTCAGGTTTTAGGGTTTAGGGAAAGCACAGCAAGCACAAGCTAACCGTTTTTGCAGCAGCAAGCACAAGCGACCTCGACACCGCGTCGTAGTGCATCATGTCTGCAACACATGTGTTTGGTTCCTTAGTTCCCCAATACCCAACCTACACCCTAAACTCTAAAACCATAAGCCCTAATGCAGTAGTAATCTGAAAGTTTGACCTTGTATGGCCCTGGCTTGGGAAGTATGGATCGACGGAGCTTCAAGCTCTCCGTCCTTGCCAAGGTCGGTTGGCGAAAGATGCTGAGGGTGTAATCTAGGAGCCAAAAAATTAGACAAGGGTTTGGGGGTTCGTTTAATAGAGGGTTCCTTAAGGATTCTATAAGGGCTACTATAAGGGTTTAGGGTATACTGGCCTGAATAACTAGAATAGGGTTTGGGGCCCCCATCATGCTTATACTATAATTATAATAAGGAGCCCTTAATAGTACTGGTAATTACTCAGGTCCTTACATGAGGGCTCCGGGACGACCCTAGATCCCAAGCCCTAAATCCCAAACGGGGAGAGACATGATTCTCCATCAACGCCGTATTTGACGTCAATGTCCCTGGAGTGTCGAGATTCTTAGTGTTTTTATGCATGGATTCAGGACCCTAAACCCCAAACCCTAAAACCCAAACTTCTGGGGTTATAGAGCCAGGGTTCCTGAATCAGGTTCCGACAGAACCCCATAAAGCTCCGAGCCGAAACAATGTGCGCACTAGAAGGCCAGCAAAGCCAACACCCTCAGGGTTTCGGGTCTAGGGTTTAGGGTTTGGGGTTTGGGGTTTGGGGTTTGGGGTTTAGGGTTTAGGGTTTAGGGTTTAGGGTTTAGGGTTTAGGGTTGGGTTTAGGGTTTGCGGTTTGGGTTGAGGGTTTAGGTCAAGCTTAATATGCCCATACTGTTCCCGCTCTCATTATAAGCCCACTACCGGCACCCTTAGAGGAACCTTCATTGAGGCTTTTAAACCATCAAGCCCTTTGAAGGCCTGATAAAGGAACCCCTAAAGGATCCGTCAAGGCTTGAAGGAGCCCTTAAAGCAATCCTTCCAGGCTTAAACGAACCCTCAATCCAACCAGGTCTTGCAGCAACCCCGGAAGAAACCCTTTAACGGAACCCCTAACCCCTAACCCTGAGCCCCTGAAGCCCAAAACCCCAAACCTAAAACCTAAACCCCTAAACCCTAAACCCTAAACCCTAAACCCTAAACCCTAAACCCTAAAACCCCTAAATCCTAAACCCCACCCTAAACCGCCGCTCTGTTCTGTCCTTCTCCACCCGGATCCTGACTCTCA